CGCATCTAAAGCTTTCAAGCAAAAGCACTTGTCAATATTTTAAGTGTTAAAAATAAAAATAAAAAAAATCCACGTCACTTTATGTTAAATTTATAAAAATAGGTATCTTTTTCGCTTATTTTATATTCTTCTATTAAAATCCCCTAATTAATTTCTATGATTGATGAGATGTGTTCAGTTAATCATGTGTAATCGATTCTGGACGTATGGAGAACTTGAATGGTAGATGTATAAAAATTTGTTAGCGATCTTCCAAATAAATGATTATTAATTATAAAAATTTCGGCTTAAATATTATGTTAATAGTATTAAAAATTTTATCAAATAATTATTATTTGACTTTTCAACATACTTTTCATGTATCAATTACCAAATACTGAGAATACCGAGTTAATGAATTAAATTCGGTAAACAATTTATAATGAGTCAAATTACAGTATAGGTAAAATATATCAACCTGGCTCAAATTATCTAACTCGTTCCTAAGAAAAAGGAAAAGACAAATTAATAAAAACAAAGAACTACAAGGAAAAATTCCGTATAATTTATTCAAAAGTGTGTCTCAGATCACTAATTAAGATTGTTTTAAAAGAAAAGATATAAAAAAAAGAAACCCCGACTATATCTATTTAGTACATTTTCAAAATACATAAAAAGACTAAAATAAACAAAACAGTATAAAATATAACTGCTAGTTACCGCTACTAATTCCAACTTTTTGATGAATAAGAATAATTTTTTTAATCCGATTTGATGGCCTCTTGATTAATGATTATTCGCATACTCCTTAAATAAGAACTGGACTTGTTCCTGCGTGAAGTTTGGGGTTTGAAATGACCTATAGACATTAAATGGTGATGTGGTCACTTCTTTTGAGCTCAGATGTAAGATACTGAAAGGGCCGACTATGTTGATAGACCAGATAGCATATTCTTCTTTTCTTGCTTTAACATTACGAACAATTCTCAAGAATGAGGATATCTGTCTCTTATACACATCTAGATGTGTATAAGAGACAGCTATGAGACAGTAGTTGTGTATCTTGAATAAGTTTATCAATGTCATCATTACTACTAGTCCAATCTATAAATTTTTGTTGAAAGCAAATGGCATTACATATTTTATTACACTTTTTACATATATCATTGAAAACAATTATATAGTTATTTGTTTCTGGATCTTGAGTTATTCCATAAAGTTTATGGTCTTTTTTAATCTACAAATATGTATAAAATATTATTAGTAAAAATAATAAATTCCAAAATCCGTGTATAGTAATGAAACAATAAAATACCTCGTTTATAAATTCAAATGTAACATTTTTTAGGTTATCTAAACTGTTCAGCTTTACAATCATATTTTTGTTATATCTTTTCCAATTTTGTTTATATTTACTCCTATACTTACTCCATTTATATATACTCCCATAAATCCAATTTGCTCTATAAACTTTACCAAATTTGTTTTCTTCAATATATTTAATATTATTAAGTCTACCATTAGGTATCCATTCAAGTGCACTTGATATTTCACTATCTTTATGAGCTAATAACTGAGTATCTTGAATTAGTTTATCAATATCCTTATTACCACTGGTCCAATCTATAAAATGATGCTGAAAGCATATTGCATTACATATTTTATTACACTTTTTACATATATCATTAAAAACAATCATATAATTATTTGTTTCTGGATCTTGAGTTATCCCATAAAACTCATGGTCTTTTTTAATCTACAAATATGCATAAAATATTATTAGTAAAAATAATAAATTTCAAAACTGTGTATAGTAATGAATCAATAAAATACCTCGTTTATAAATTCAAATGTAATATTGTTTAAGTTATTTAAAATTTTCAACTTTACAATCATATTATGATCACATCTTTTCCAATCTTTTATATATTTATCCCAATACTGTATACGTCCATCAATCCGATTTGCTCTATATATTCCAAATTTTTCAATATATTTAATATCATCAAGTCTATCATAAGATATCCATTCAAGTGCACTTGGTATTTCACTATCCTTATGAGCTAATAACTGAGTATCTTGAATTAATTTATCGATATTACTATTACCACTGGTCCAATTTTCGAAATTTCGTTGAAAAAATTTTACGTTACATTCATAACAACATCTTTCACACTTATTATCATTTAATTCTTCATTCACTTCGTCTATTGACAATGTTTTGTCCATTGACTAATATGCATAAATAATAAAGGCGGAATAAGATGCTAGTGCAGAATCGAAAATTGATTTTGTTTCGAGGCCAGTAATATTTAATATATGAAAAAAATTAAAAGGTACAAAAAAAATTATAAATGAAATTTAGTAAAATCATTCCTTTTTTTTCATAGGTAGTAACACGCACTTCTTTATTGAGGCCGTAAAAGGTAACTAAACTAGGAATTTGGCGTAAAGTACATGTGACAATACATGAAATGAACATCATGCATAATCAATCATGTGATATATTTTCCCGATCATCGTTCCGACCGGCAAGAGCGCTAACCAGAAAGTTCTTGATGAAATCCTGATGCTCTTGAAATAGTACTAATAGCTGGTATAGCTGGAAGAGTGGCTTCAGAATGATGTATCCGTTCACTATTTATGTCCCTTCCCTTTTCTTACTTCTAGGTCTTTATTTTTGTTATTTTCCTAAATTGCTAATCTAGTTAAGAGATTTTAGTTATGAAGATTTTTAGTTTAGATAGTTTCACACTCCTCTTCTCTTTTAGGGTTTTTTTAGTAAGCCTATATGCTTTAAGTAAAAAACGCAGACAATTTGCCCATTGACATTTTCTAAATAGTAGGCTTTGCATTAATGTTAGATTAGATTCTATTGAGAGTTTTTAAATATCACGCATCTAAAGCTTTCAAGCAAAAGCACTTGTCAATATTTTAAGTGTTAAAAATAAAAATAAAAAAAATCCACGTCACTTTATGTTAAATTTATAAAAATAGGTATCTTTTTCGCTTATTTTATATTCTTCTATTAAAATCCCCTAATTAATTTCTATGATTGATGAGATGTGTTCAGTTAATCATGTGTAATCGATTCTGGACGTATGGAGAACTTGAATGGTAGATGTATAAAAATTTGTTAGCGATCTTCCAAATAAATGATTATTAATTATAAAAATTTCGGCTTAAATATTATGTTAATAGTATTAAAAATTTTATCAAATAATTATTATTTGACTTTTCAACATACTTTTCATGTATCAATTACCAAATACTGAGAATACCGAGTTAATGAATTAAATTCGGTAAACAATTTATAATGAGTCAAATTACAGTATAGGTAAAATATATCAACCTGGCTCAAATTATCTAACTCGTTCCTAAGAAAAAGGAAAAGACAAATTAATAAAAACAAAGAACTACAAGGAAAAATTCCGTATAATTTATTCAAAAGTGTGTCTCAGATCACTAATTAAGATTGTTTTAAAAGAAAAGATATAAAAAAAAGAAACCCCGACTATATCTATTTAGTACATTTTCAAAATACATAAAAAGACTAAAATAAACAAAACAGTATAAAATATAACTGCTAGTTACCGCTACTAATTCCAACTTTTTGATGAATAAGAATAATTTTTTTAATCCGATTTGATGGCCTCTTGATTAATGATTATTCGCATACTCCTTAAATAAGAACTGGACTTGTTCCTGCGTGAAGTTTGGGGTTTGAAATGACCTATAGACATTAAATGGTGATGTGGTCACTTCTTTTGAGCTCAGATGTAAGATACTGAAAGGGCCGACTATGTTGATAGACCAGATAGCATATTCTTCTTTTCTTGCTTTAACATTACGAACAATTCTCAAGAATGAGGATATAGTCTCATCATTTGCTCTATACATTATATCATATTCGTCTATAAAGAGAATAACCTGTTTTTCCCCACCTTCTTGAAAACAAATTAGCGAAATCATTACTAACTTAATTTGATCTTTGATATACTCGGGAGCAGTCCTGACGAGATAATCACTGAATATTGTCCAGAATAATATCTTGCCATCTGTTTCAATCGTCTCAAGAGATATACTGTTTCAAGGAAAAAAGAAATATAAGCAACAGATGCAATGTGCAAACCTGGTACTTGTGATCGCTTAAATGAGAAAAAGAACTTACTATAGGCGAAGATAGCCTTCTTCTTCCAATCGTTCCATAACTCTAAACACCCGTGTAGTTTTCAAGTGGCCTGTACACCATGTAGTGCCATCACCCTTCCGAATATTATTAAGAAGCGGTTCACTTAACTCTATGGATCAACAAAGTAGACACAAGCACGCTGAACTATCCTATTTGCTTCTCTTTAATTCTGTGGCTAACTGGCTATAGAGAAAATTCGTAGGAATGATGGAATGAAACATAACTAAGTATGGTATCAAGTTTCTATCACATGTTTCTTACTTTCTTATATTTCCATGAAAGGTCCTTTTTTCTCGAGCTCTAATGGACAATGAGAAAACATATTCAATATTATTAACAAATGTGATGACGAAAATATATATCATTGTTTCAACTTATTCGAGGAGTAAAAAAATTGAGAGACACTTACCAGTAGTAGTTGCGATGACAACGACGATTCTGATGTTTTTTGAAAATATTTTATGAACTTGCTTTGACGTTTAATAAACACACCTCCAAGGTTTTTAATATCGTCTTCAGTAGAATTAGGATTAAGCTTACTTTCATCAACGTCAACTTAGTTGCCAAAGATTCAGTACGTCAGGCTTTCCAAACTCTTCATTATTTGAGATAAGGTTCGCAAGTTGTCCAACTCTTAATTTCTCAAATGGAATTTCATCACCATCAATTTTGAAAATTTTCTTATCGTCATTGTCATTTTTATTTTTGTAAACTTCCACCTGAAAAACATAACTATTATCTAGACGTAAACAATTGTATGATTCAACCATTTCGATTATATTTCTATAACGATAAATGATATTTTAGTTTATAGAAAAAGAGATATTTTAGTTTTTAGAGAAAGAAGTTGCTTTTAGAGAAAGAAGTTTTGAGCAAACTAGAGAGCTGAGGTTGACGCAATACAGTAAATAATTTATCAGTACATGAAAAAAAATTGATTAATCATTATTCTCATTCTCCGATTCTCAGGGTATTTATTAAAAAAAAGGTGAATTAATTTTTAGGTCGTACGAGTGGTCGAGTGGTCGTACGATTGACCGTATTTGACTAATCTGTTTTACTTGCAAAATAAATTAATAAAGCGCAGTAACTGCACTCCGGCCCCCAAGTTGTCGTACTATTTTCTACGTTAGTACCTTACTAGTATTACGGAATGCAAGCACATAAATTTTTGATGGGGTTTTACTAAGATCAACGTTGTTTATTTATTTCTGACACTTCATGTCTTGTAACGTCTGACGACTAATTTTTTCTATTCAGAATAGCGATTATTGGGATAAAATGAAACCGAATTATGGATAATGTTAGTATAGGTAGTTTAGAATTAATGTAGAAACACCATTTCACTTGTAAATTTATGTATCACGCTTACGAACGGAATCATGTAAAATTCAAGCCGAAAATTGCTATACATTTTATCAAATATACTATGCAGGTTTATAGTTTAAACTTTATGATAAATCTTGGATTCTTATTAAGTTATTCATTTCCTTCCTAGTAAACAAATTACAACAATCACAAATTATCTTTTGCTGGAAGTCACTCGCTTTATAATCGTTTTGGCCACTTTTATTATATACAGTATATATAAAGCTTGTTTGTTAATATATTTTTATTAATAATATTAAACAGCAGACCGTATCCAGAATTATGGAAGATTCAAGATTTCAATCACTTTGATTGATTTGAAAAATTACATTATAATAATAATATTATACTATTTATTAGAATGAAAAAAATTCTTTTAGATATATTTTTTATACTGTAAAATGTTGTACATACTAATCAATAACAGAAAAAAATCGTAAGATATTTATTTATTATTTCAAAATATGAGGAAATTTTTAAAGCTTGTTATATAATTGTTGCTGTATACAATGTTTACAACGATATTATATCACTGTTAGTATTGTATAATTTCTAAATTTCATTACTATTGATTTTCTATCTCCTAATCATAACGATAACGTATTTGAAAATGAAAGTTAATAATTTAAATTTTTTGAGGAAAGAATTTATTGAACTTTCCTTAATATATTATCTTCATTACTCAAAAAATTATGGATGTCATACCAGAAATTAACTGAAATTAATTAATTAATTTCTTAAATTATTTCAAAACTACAGTATCATCCAAAATATTACCCTCCGACTCATTCAAAACGTAAAATTTTTATTTGAATTCGCCCTTAGGTCTTAAATTTTTGACGAGAAATGACTAGAACATGAAAGAAGTAACAGAATATAACATTTATTTACGCAAAACATTGGGGACGTTTTAATGCAATTATAACATCAATTCATGAAAAATATTCGGCTTAGACAAAAAAATATTTGGGATAATTGTATTAATTTTTAACATTGTAAATTAAATAATAATTTGTCTGAAGCGTTAGCGAAGAACATTCTGCTGTACTGCATTAGATGATTTTGTGTTAACCCATGCAACCTTCCATCCACTGACATTACCTCACGTATTAGACCCCTTTTGTGATTATATAACTCCTTTTTTTCGTAACACTGATGATTTTGTAACATTATATACTATAAATTGTATGTTGATCATTTTAGTACGAAAAAAAGGTCTTTCACATTTGTAATTATGATTATTTAATAAAAATAATCAGATAATTATTTGGGAAAAAATTCTCATATTAATTTTAATATACAATTATAATTATGTCTTTTGTTTTTTATTTAAATGATAATATAATTTATTTATATTTTTGTCTACTAGGTGTTATATACATAATTAATAAACGCGTTACTAATTTTAAAAAAAAAAAATTTGATTTGTCTCTGAGTGATTTCCTTTTTAGGATGCCGATCCTCTATATTTAGTACTGATTTACTAATTATTTACTAATTATGTACTCATTCGAACTTTTCCTTTTTTATATTTAAATTGATCAACAAATCTTTTAGTGGTAGTTGCGTTGTGTAATATTATTAATAGTTTAAGATAAATAAATAATAAAGCATATTTCATTTGAAATCATTGTCTAAATTTTTAAAATAAAAATATTTCATTTGAAATTTCCTTATATATATGTATAACCACGCACAAAAATAAATGAAATTGATCACGATAACCCTATTAAAAAAGTTTGTGCTAAATTTCATACGATATTTGTTTGAATTTATATTATTTTTTAGTACAAATTTCGAATAAATGTTTGTATGATTAGCCCGTTTGGCACAAATTTAGCACAAACCTTTTTTATAGGTTGATAAATTTTTTTTTTTATGCATGAGGCGAAATTTTGCGTACAGCCATGCATATTTATACACGTGTTTCAAAATAAAAAAAGTATATAATCGCAAATGGACGATATAAAAAAAAATGATTTTTTTTGGTAAAAAATTTATATATTTATAAACGATTACCAAATGAGTTACAATTCAGCAATTGATAAAATCGATAAAATCGATGTTGATAAAAATGATGTTGATAAAATATTTACCTTCGATAATATCAATGATAAACGACATAATGGTAAACACATTACTATGATAGAAATTTCACCAAAAGAAAAATACCTTATTACTTATAGTAAAGTAGACCGTTCAATGGTCGGTTGGGATGTTGAAAATATAGATAAGGTTCAACTTAAATTTCATCAAACTGTTAACATTGATGAATATGGAATCAATGGTTTATGTGTTTCTGATGATAAGAAACTTGCTTATATTATTAAAAATAGTACTTTTAAACATACTATTACTGGTAAGTAATAATTATTTGGTTATGTAATTATTAAATTATGGTAATTGATATTTATTTTAATATTTTTTTAGTAATTGATATGAATAATAAAGATAAAAAAATTGCATTAAATTTAGATATACAAAAATCTTTTTATGTTGATGATTTATGGGATTTATATTGTACCTTTAATTTAAAAGGTGAATTTATTATATATAGTGCATGTTACGTTCAAGGAATTTATGATAATCATAAAATTATTTGGATTTATTCCACAAAAACTAAAAATAACAAATGGGAATGTAAGAGATTTTATAGGATACCTGAAGATTATGAATTAATTAGTATATCAAAATATGATAAAGTTTACCTGGCTTCAAATGAAAATGATTACATTTATGAATGGAGTATTAATACTAATAAAAGTGTAAAAATATTTGTTAATAATAAGGATAGGACTTATAAGGTAATAAATATTATAAAATTATTTTCAAACTAAATTATTGTTAAATTATAATTAAATATATTAAATACTAATTATTTTTTAGTTTAAAACAAAAAATATTGGAATATTCAGTAATGAAGAGTTGATTTTTCTAAAAATCAATGATAAAATCATCATTGTTTATTCAATCGAATTGGAAATTCCTATTGCTTCTTTGGATATAAATGATGGTAACCATTTTTATAAAATCATTTATACTTCAATTATTACTCATATTAAATCATCATTTTCTTTATTTAGATATTCAACTATATAATTTTATGAATCATACTGGTTTGTTTTTTTTACCCTCTTTATTCTATTATACACCAAATAAAGAAATCAAATATTGCTGGAACAATAAATACAAAAATAGTTCTAATCAAACTTCATTTTATCATTATAATCAAACATTTGTAATTCTAAATGGACGTGTTTGGAAATCTAAATTTGGCGAATATATGTCAAAAATGAACTTTTCATCCGAGAATTCTGATGAATTAAATAAAGAGAATAATAAAGTTATTGAATGTGGTGATCATGCTAAAGTCAACAAGAAAACTTATAAACACTTAAATGTTCATTCATTTAATCTATATATGGATACTGTTTTTACATTATTTCAAAAAGCCACAACAAATGATGATAATAGAGTTTTAGTTGAATTAACTGGAAATTTAATTAAATGGAATGTACATGTTGATAATGATAAAATTAAACTAGAAGTATTCAGAAAAATTAATACTAAATTGGAATCAATTAGCACAAGAATTGAAAATCATCCTTATAAACTTGTAGATTACAACCATCAAATAATTGTGAGCTCATTATTTAATAACAATGATATTGCTATATTGACAACATTTGGTATTCTTATTTATACTTTTAGTGAAAATAACAACTCTATTTCTTTAAACTATTTTTATTTTATGAAACTTGGTATTAAACGCAAACGTGGCTATAATATAAAAAAATGTATAGAAATACTTCAACATTACAAAAGAAAATCTACTTTACTATTACCAAATTATGATAGTTTTAGATTAAATGGATGGGTTTCAGATGCAAAAGATAATAAGACAAGTCTTTTGAAATATGGAGTTGAATTATTAACATTTGCAATTAAAGAACATAAGTTAGAATTAATTGATGATATTTATAAAAAATGTATGACTTATTTTAAAGAGGACTTAATGAATAATAAGTCATTTTTAAGCATTATCACTTCCACAATGCCATTACTAGATAAATATTATCCAGAATATATTCTAAAATATTCATCAGAAACGAATATGATCATAGATTCTTCTTTCTATAGTATAGAGCGTCAAAATAAAAATTTACATCTTTATTCTTTTTTACAATATCCTCAAATAACTAATTTATCGAAATCTCTTTTATGGACAAAATTCCATTATATAATTAGTTACACAATTTTACAAAATAAATCATTATCAGTTACTGTAATATGGTTAATTATATGTGTTATTCAAGTTTTAATAATATTTTTAACTTTACCCCTTTATTTTGCTACATTTTATATTTTATCAAAATACAATTTTATCAATGATATTTACGCTTCAGATGCATTTTCTTCTGCTTATTTCCTTACTGAAATTATTATTTTTAATATTGTTAAATCTTTTAAAAAAAATACAACAACAACAACAACACCAACAATTACTTTTATGGTTCCCTATATTAATTTTGTTAATTATTCAAGAGATTACAATTGGTTTTTAGAATTAATTAGACCTCAACCTAGTCCATTTACTGAAACAATAAATAGAATTATCTATAAAACATGGAATGGAGAAACATTAATTAATTTTAAATGGAATGCTTATGGGAAATATTATTTTGCAATGATTTGGATTTCATTTATGGTTTTACTTGGATGCTTTACTGCTGCTGCAACAATTCCCCGACAATATATCAATGAAGAAGTTAGACAACAACTTTTTATTGCTTCAATTATATTTGGATTTATTCATTTGATTTTTGAAATTCGTCAATTTTTTCATAATATTACTAAGTGGTTCTATAATTTTTGGAATATTTTTGGTAAATATAAATGTTTAATTTAATTTATATTATAATATTTTAAGAAAATGAAATTAATTATTTAATATTTAATATTGTAGATATAATTGCTTATGTGCTTTCAATTTACACTTCTATTTACTGGCTTCAAACAATTGATAAGAATAATAATTACCTAATCCAATTGCTTTCCTTTTCATGCTTATTTTTGGATATAAAATTTTTATTATTTTTTAGAGCATTTGAATATTTTGGTGTATACTTTGCAATTATTATTAGTGTTGGAAAAAAGATTTTTTCTTTTTTATTAGTCTTATTCATTATTATAATAAGTTTTGCACATGCATTTTATGTCTTATTATCACCAAAATCTGAGTTTTCACTTGAACAACATGATACAAATAATAATAATGACCCAAATAATCCTTGGAATTTAGTTTCTAGTTATAGTCAAATTGATAATGATGGAAATATCAACTCCAATCCATTTATGTTTCAAATTCCTGATAAAAATACAAACATGTTTATAGATATTAGAACTTCTCTTTTTGCTATGTATTTATTTTTAACAGGTATATTTAAATTTTTCATAATTTATTACATAAATATTTTTCTAATATTTTTAAGCAATTTTTCTTTCATATGATCAATAGGTGACTCAAGCGCATTATCCAATTGGCCATATGCAGACAATCCATCAATTGCAATATTGATTGTTTTATTTTCCCTTTTAATTGTTATATATCTTATGAACTTGTTAATTGGATTACTCAGTAATGCGATCGAAGAAGATAATAATAGAGTCTCATATTTGATGCAAAAGGCAGAGGTAAATAACATTATTATTAATCATTCCATTTCTGTAAATGTACTAACATATCTCAACTTTTAGATTTTGGCTGAGATTGAGTTATTTTACCTATTACCACATCAGAGACGTTGGCAAACATGGTTTCCTGAAGTAATGTATGTAATTTTACTTTTTTAAAAAAAGTGTAATGTTATGATTTTATTAATTATTCAAAATTTATTTTTTTCAAGACATTACTATGCCGATGTTGATAAGACTCGAATAGAAATTAAAAGATTGATTAAAGATGGTGAATGGGATACTAAGGAATTCACAGAGATGCGGGAAAAATTATTAAAAGAACTTCAAATTAAACATAATCCTATTGACGATGAGGTAATATTGGAGAAATTGGAGAAATTAACATCTAATGATGATAATTTAGAAAAAGAAATTAGAGGAATTAGCATAAATTTGCAAAAACTTTTAAAATCGGAACTATACCATGACCAAGTTTGAAATTTTATCATTAAACCTTATAACCAAGACTTAGTCACGATATGGTTTTACACTGCCACGATAATGATAAAGTTCAAGACAATCGCTCAGCCGCGAAGATCATGAGAAGTATGTGGACGTACCGGTAGGGAACTGGCAATGGGAATCGATCAGACACTCGGATTGTGCACCATATGCTTTAAGATTTCCAAGCGGCGTTAGTTGGTGTTATATAGTTTTAGTTTTTTTTTTAATTTTATATTTAGTTTTTTTATGTATGTTTGATGATGTCTGGTGTTTTATTTTTAGTATAGTTCTTTATTATTTATAGATTGGTTAGCTAGGGCTTTCGTTGTCTGACGTCACCTCTATGTATTTTTATAGTGTCTTGTACTTTGTACGTATCCATAAATAAAGATGTGATGCTAACTTTTTTTTAAAAAAAAGTTCAAGACTGATTCAATCTGGTCGTACAAAAATAGTATTTAAATCGTAAAATACAAATTAAAGTTATAATTAACGCATATTTAAGTTATAATGAATATATGTTTAAGTTATAGTAAACAAATATTAAAAAAGTAAAATTTATTTTAAATATGTTGTTAAACTTTATTTAAGAGATATTAAAGCGATCCATGCCAGATCTCCGGTATATCCAAGTTGGAGCCACTTCCTTAAAAAAAAAAAAAGGAAAAAAACTTAATAATGTCTTTAAAAAAAGAAAGTTACCAATTATTTCAAGAGCTTACTTTCAAATAAATATTGCCTTAATACTATCATCTTTTCTGGTATACAAATATTTTATAAGGTAATATTGAGAAATAAGCATCAAATATTTGAAGTCCGATTAATTTTTCAGAAAGAAAATAAGTAATTTCAAATCCTCATGAATTTTATAACCTTAGAACGACATTTGCAGTATAAAAGAATGATTGATAAATTTAATAAGATATTTATTAAGTATTACATTTAGGGTACTATATTTACTAACTTGTAAATAAAAAAATATATATATAAATAATATAGCAAACTAATTGATTTACATTTTACAATAAGTTAATATCAATAAATCGCTTTGTCTATTATATCTTTTGTAATTTCTTTCCCAATATTCATACATAATACCAAGATTATGCTGTGCTAACATATTTCCTAAATTTGCTGATTTTTTATATAATTTTAATGCTTCTTGCTTATCAATTTTAGTTCCAATAGCATTACTATAACAATAACCTAACATTGTTATTCCATCTGAATATCCTTCTTCAGCTGATTGCTTAAACAGTTTAAAGGCTTTATCATAATCTTTTTCAACACTAATTCCATTTCTATACCAATTACCAAGAATATGCATAGCTACTATATTTCCATTATTTGCAGCTTTTTCATACCAATAAGCCGCCTTTTTTATATCTTTTTTAATATCTCCTATTCCAAGATTATAACAATAAGCAATTTCTAATTGTCCTTGTGAGAAATTTTTATTGGCCGATTTTTCATAATATTTAAAAGCTAATTTTTCATTCTTTATAGTCCCATTACCATAATGATAACAATTCCCAGCAAAATATTGTGCAAGTATATGATTATTTTCTGATGCATTAATAAATAATTTAAATGCTTTCTCATTATTTTCACTTGTTTCAATTCCAAAATAATTAAAATATCCAAGTAAAAAAATGGAATTTGAATTATTTTGATTATTTGACAACCAATTATAAATTTCTTGTAAATTAATATTACGATTGTTAAAATATTCAATAAGTTGCTTATCAGTTAACTTCCATCCAATTCTTTTATTTAATTGTTTAAAGATTAAATCATTTGTTTCATCAACTATACTGTTGAAATCTATTTCAGTTGAAAGTTTCTCTTGCTTATTTGACTCTGCTATAGTATCAATTTCTTTTGTATCCATTTTATTAAAATTATGAATAAGTTGAGATAATTCTCCCTGTGATTCTGAATCATTAATACTTGAAGGGACCTCATTAAATTCTTGATTGTTTGATAATTGAGGAGTTTCTATTATTATATCAGTTTTCGTAATGATTGCTTTTAACCAATCAACTACTTGAAATATAGTTGGACGATTATCTGGCTCACCATCCCAACATTCTAAAAAGAAAACAAAATGTAATTTAAGATTAATTAAAATTAAAATATATTCAAATATATAATTAAATTTAAAATTTTACTTACTAGTATAAATTTTTACATATTCATCAGGTGTATAAGGAACAACCGTTTCTCTATGACCTTGCGAAATGTCATAGATTAGGCCAACATCATAATGTTCACCATCAGCACAAAATGGAGGTTGTCCACTTGATAATTCCCATAATAATACTCCAACACTGTAAACATCACTTTTTTCATTCAATGAATACATTTGGTTATTATTATTTCTTCTCCTGCTAAAACTTTTTGGATCAACGTAAGGAATCATCCCAAATAATTTAGATTGAACATTAGATGATGCCCCGATTCTTTTTGATAACCCAAAATCTGCTAATTTGATCGTGTTTTGATGGACTAATATATTGCCAGAGTGCTATTAAAAATGTATATATTAAATAAGTAAAGTAAATTAATTCTACCAATGATGTAAAATAATAATAGATAGATTACCAAGTCACGATGGACAACGCCCTCAACATGTAAGCATGACACAGCACTGGCTAACTGGTACGCCATAAGGTACTTATCACTCCAAATCAATTTATTAAAGTTATTCTTCAAATAGTTTCGAAGACTACCACCGTCTGCATATTCCATTACCAACATATAATCAATGCTGTGGTTTCCTGAAATTAAAAAAAAAAATTGAAAATGTATTTTATGAGTGAAATTTAGTATGTTATTTTCAATATTTTTATAATACCTGATTCAAATTTTGTTATCCCATGACAACTTATAATACTATCATAAAAATGAACCCCACGTTGAATTTTTAACTAAATAAATAAATTCAAATTTTGAAATAAATATAATAGATTAAAAAAACATAATGTAAAAAAATTTTTTAAATTACCTCACGAACAACCTCTTTTACAGTGATGTTGTTAAGATTAAAGAAAGATTTTAACGCTAAATGTTCTAAATTTTTCCAATTTGCACGGTACACTTTTCCAAAACCTCCAACACCAATTTCTTGAAAGTTACTAAATTGATTGTATTCATAAAATTTTAAGTGTTCTTTGGCAATAGCTTCTTCAATCCAATTGATCCATTCATTCGCATTTCCAATGTCTTGCATTTTCTTATTGTCAGGCATATTGAATAATAATAATAATTTACAGAAAGTTTTTTATTGTGTATAATAACGATAATAACCCTTTTTATGTAAAGACAATAACAGAATAACTCCGAAAATTGTCGCACAGCGTCACAGTATCACCGGGACCCCTGAAAGATACATAAAAAAGTCACGTTCGAATTGCGTAAAAAAAAAACAAATTATGAAAATCTTTCCTTTTGTAGATAATGCCTGGTGGAAAGCTATTACCTCTTTTGGATACTGGCCGAAATCATAATAATTCCGTCCCTGAAAAAATGTATACACTTATCTTTATGAATATATATTCAGGTCCTGTATCACCAAACAAAAAGTTGCCCACATGATTGGATTGATTGGTCACCCACGATTGAAATAATTTTTGCTTTTTTATTCCCAGAATGCTTGAAAATTCTTTCATACCATCTCAAAAATATCATATGTTTTTTGACATATTCTGCATGACAACGGTTAAACAATCCACTTCCCTAATTGATATTCTGATGAAAATTTCCTCTAAATTCCACATTTTCAATATCAAATTCTTGAAAAATCACAATAAATGTTTATTATATTTGTAGGTTTCTTTGTAGAATGTTTATATATTTTAGTAATATATTTATTTAAAATTTCTCGCCATATTTTTTCAATGTTGTTATTTTCATCAATATCAAGAACTACTTTTAAACTAAGAGGGTGACATTGCTCAGGATCGATACAGTCTCCAATTGGATATTTTTCAAATACTAATTTATAAGCAATGATAAAATTATTTGATTTTGTTCTCAAGGCGCAAGTGATTGATTTCGCATGCATTTTTAGAGACGAAATTAAGCCTTTTCGAAGAGTAACTTTGACTATATTTAAATCGAAGGAGATCAAATGAGTCTGTCAGTTATTGAATATACAAGAAATTTGAAGAAATTCCAAGAATTTATTTAATGATAAATCAAAACTGAAAATAAAAATAAATAAATATTAGTAAATTTAACATAAATTTTTAAATTTATTCATCGCACGCGCGATGTCATCGCAGTAATTCCAACAAATTTCTGCACCCACGTGACTTAAAAATATTAATCACTGGACTTTTTTTTGCCTCCACGTGTTTCAATTTTTTTATTTACAAATGCAATGTTAAACTTTTACTTCTTTTTAGCTTTAACATCATTATAATTGTATGACTTTAGTTTGATAGTATAAGAACGTTAATAAACGTTCTTATTAAAAAAAACCAAAAAACCTGCTTCCCCTCTTTAGAAATACTTACCTGTTTCCATTTCCAAGTTCCAGGCCAGAATCTACAAAAAAAAGGACACCAAAAGCTTTAAAAAATCTACAAAAAAAAAAGAAAAATGGTTAATTAATAAGAAACGAAAGTAAAAAAAAACTTGGCGTGGTTAAAATTCAAAAGAAAGAACGTGTGAAAGTATTTTATTTATTTTATTTTTTTATTTTTACTTGAGAAAGGCAGATACACTAGAGAGATACTAAAACATTACGCGTATAAACTAGGCATAAAGAATATTGATCTAAACTAAGTATACAAAATCTAACAGGTAGACCCACCCTTCGTTGGAACGACCTGACTAATGGAGATCTAGTCGCCACAGTGAACGAACAAAGGGATTAGACACTACCCTATAAAAAAATTGGATACGTTTTTTATAAAGTTTTTATACGATTTTTTTTCCTTAGAAATAACGTATCATAATAGGATACGGAAAAATGCACAATTCCGTATCACCAAAAATATGGTTTGGAT